GATAACAGGTGAGAGTAAAACCATATATATGACACCTGCCGTGTATAAAACATCATGTGAGTGAGAAAGCTTTATTTCTTTAACATTTTTTTCTTTCATTGCACTAATGAGTGTGTCTTACTGTAACTAATCCATTGGCTTACAGTAACTCAACTTTATTAAGCTTACAGTTTCCGTATATAAAAATTGGGATAGTGATTGTACTTAATTCCTGCAACCGCTTTAAAGGTGAAATAAATCTGTTAATGAGCTTATCCTGGTGTTACTGAAACTCAAGTTCAGCTTCCTGTCTCTAGAAAATACTTTACTCAAGAGATGAGTTTTGATTGGAAAGGAATATGAGCTTTACTCAGGAAGCCGGCAAGGAGATGGTGGACTCTTATCCAAAGGCCAACTCCAAGCTTTCTCTCTGGCCCAGGAATTTTTAAAGGGATTTAGGGCAGTTAATCAGTAAGGGGAGTGCAGTGGTCATAATATTTCTTGATTCCCAATTTTTTTTTTTTTTTTTTTTTTTTTTTTAAATCAGTGTTCCTCTTTCAGGGGTTATCTGGACTGAGAAACAGTTGTCAAGAAATGGCAGGACTTTACTGCAAAATTCCCTAAATTGATAGTGGGACAGGTATCTGCATACAGACTCACTGCTATCCAGTGTGACGATGGGCTGTGGAGTCCTTGGACTTGGGAAAAAACCAGTAAATTCATTATGGGATGATTATTCAAAGGGAGCAGGTCCAAGGGAATAGCATAGACCATAAGGGAACATTACAAATGACTCAGTGAAAATCAAAACGTGATTGAATATGCTGATACTTTTTAGTGAATGATGACTCTTTTAGCTATAACATTTGAACTAAAATACCCATTTATACATTTGACATGTTAATTGTTTTATTTTTTCTGTTTTTTTAAAAAAAGGATCCTAATGTTGTAACAAACAGCACAGTACCTGGCACATAGTAGGCACAAAGTATCTTTTAGTTGTTACATGATTTGAAGTCAACCTTGATGTTGAAATTTACCATTTATCCTGGGCAAGAGAATTTACAACTTGTTCTCCCCAGAGGCTCACAATCCAGTTACATCATACAGATCATTAAAAGTCACACATGGTATCCTAAAGGGATCCAGAGTTGGAGTCTAATGACAATTACTCCCATTAAAAGTGCATATGAATGGGGAGGCTGTGTTACCTGTGTTTCCTTTGCTTTTCTCATTGGAATATGCCTTATGTAATCCATCAATCAGGAGAATTAATGGTGTGACTAGCAATTCAGGCCATACGGAGATAATCAAGGCATCATAAATCTTGTTAGAGCTAATACAGCCTGCAAAATGGGACTGCTAGCACAGCAATCAAATTCCAAAACTGCCTGCCTACACTAAAAACTGTGTCAAAAACGAAGAGCAAAGGTGAAAAGAGAAAATGTCATCTAGGAAAAAGTGTACCAAATCTTAGGAACAGAGGGTGGAACAGATTTTGGGGGTCTTCTGGGAGGAAAAGTGAGACACCTTCAAACAAAGGATCTGTGTAAACACCCTCCCCCCACCTCCCCAATCCTCACTGCTCAGTGCCTTGAGCTGCCTCTACTGAAAATATCAGCATTTAGGCTCTTACTGCATTTGGTAGGATTTACTATCTCTTCAGAGCCATATACTGGGCACCTGTCTTACAGCCATTCTCTTTGTTCTTACATTCTTATTTGTTGCACCTTCACTAAGGAGATTGCAATTTCAGATAGGTAACTTCCTAGCCTGCCCTACCTCTACAATAGAGGCTTACAACCAAAGCCTATATGAAAGAATTTGAAAGGAATTCTGCTTAAGACTTCTGGAGAAAGTTACCTTTCTGATAAAAACATAGTCACTGCTTGCCTATCTATCCTGGGATATTGCTGTGAAAGGACATACTGTCTGGGGCAGTTGCGGTTATCCTGAACCTAATGAAGGGGCCAAATAAACTGATCTGTTAAATTGCCCCTAGAAGCACCCAACTTTAGCTGTCTTGGGATGTGAGTAAATAAAGGTTCTTGTCCTTCAAGCCAGTGCTTTTTAAACTTCATAGTGCATACAAATCACTTGAGGATTTGTTACAATTAAGTTTCGGATTCAGAAGGGGGGGTACCTAAGAGTCTGTATTTCTACAGACTCTCAGGTGATGCCCAAACTGCCTACATATCGGGTAACAGGTATTTCAGCCACTTTTAAATTTGCGTTGAGTTAACTTGAAATCAGATACATACTAAGTGGCAACACTGAATAGTGAGGGACTTGGAAGTTTAATCCAACCTAAAGATATGCATGATGAACCTTAAGAATTTACCAGCTAAAAAATTCATAGGATTATCACACGTGAGGGCTTTGAGGTCATCATGGTCTGTGTTCAAATCCTGATTCTGTCATTTACAAACTGTGTGACCCTGTAGAATATCGTTTAACCTCTCCGAATCTTGATTTTATCAAAGAAGTGTTTGTCTCATGTGGTTGGTTTGGGCATTCGGTGAGATTATATGACAAAAAGCCTAGATGTTGAACATATGTGAGTTCCTCTTCTATTGATGATTTTGGACTTCTGTATTAAGCTTCACTCATGCCAAAGATTACTTAGTTAAAATGGTACAAAGTCTGATAGAAGACAGATTGTGATAATCAGCCTAGAAGACTTTCCTTCTACTCAAGCTGCTGTATCAAAAGCCTGTGATACTTGTATCAGACTATCTTAAACTTAATTGGAAGTCTGAAAGAAAAATAATCAAAATTGTACTTTGATATGATTTTTTTTTTAATTTATCTGCCTTGTCTTTGATGAGAAAGGGGATTTTTTTTTAATTTACAGACTCTTTTCCAAAATTGCTGGAATTTTGCCAAATGAAGTGACCGTTAGCAGATTTGATCAGTGGTAAACAAAATCTATTTCCTATAGTAATAGAAAAGTGGGAGGTAATGCAACTTTCCTAAGTCAGATTGCAAATAGGATTGTGGATGCCAGTTATGGCTCTAAATGTTGCAGTGTGCTTTCTGGATTTTAATGTTTGAAGACTAGGTGGAGTTTTCATGTTTACAAGCCTGGGTGCTTTGATCAACATAATGTTTTTGAATGCCCCTTGGAATGATTTTGGAATGTTCTTGGCGTAATGTCAGAGCAAGGGATTTTACTAATGATATCCCAGGCATATAGACATTGTCTTCTCGGCAAGGGTTTCCATGGATGGGAATGATTCTTGCGTATCTCCGATCAAAAACAAAGTATATTTTAAATATTACATAAGTCCTCTTGACATCAGGGAATCCATGTAGCTTCGCATACGGGTATAGATACACTAGCCTATCATTTCCCTTTCAGTGTTATTGCTATAAAATCATTCTCAAAAATATCTGGAACTGTATATTCAAATATTCAGAATCCTTTCTCAGATGAAACCTTTCCTACCTTTATAGATCGGAATGGCTGAGAACAGGGGCTTCTCAGATGGCTAGAGCGAGGTTTAGGCTATTCATTCATTAGTTATATAAAATGTGGGTGCCTTACATACTCCTCTCAGACTGCATTTTCTTATCTGTAAAATGGGAATCAGGGCGTGTTGAGAAGTTTAATTTGATAATAAAAGTAGAACACTTAGTACATGCTTGGTGCTTAGTAAGCATCCGGGAAATTTTAGGTAAAAGCAGCTTATTCTAAACTGAAAAGGAAGCACTTCTTTATTCTCATTTTGTTTGTTCATCCTTAAGGTAAACTCCTGTGGGCAAAAAGGTTTCCCCAGAAAGGAGGCCCTGATGCATGTTTATTTTATTTTGAGAAATGATTCTAGGAGATACAGGTGAGGAACTGAGCCAAGTGGAATGGGGAAGGGGGAAACAGAACAATGTTTCTGCCCACAGTCAGCTGTGGGCAGCTGAGTCTCATGGGGCCTTCTAAGGAAAGAAAATGGGGGGGGGAGGAACGCCTGGGTGGCTTAGTTGGTTAAGTGTTTACTTTCCACTCAGGTCGTGATCCCAGGGTCCTGGGATCGAGTCCCACATCAGGCTCTTTGCTCAGTGGGAAGCCTGCTTCTCCCTCTCCCTCTGCCTGCCACTACCCCTGCTTGTGCCCTCTCTTTCTGTCATATAAATAAATAAAATCTTTAAAAAGAAAGAGAGAGAGAGAGGGAGAGAGAGAAAGAAAATGGGGAACATATACTCAACTGCTCCCGTCTTCCATTAACTGGGTTTCATTGTGGATACGTATTAACATCCTTACGTAGATTCGTAGTGCATAGGCGATGAGTGGATTCCAGTAGAGAGCTAACTGGGTTTCAGTGTGGATACGTATTAACATCCTTACGTAGATTCGTAATGCATAGGCGATGAGTGGATTCCAGTAGAGAGCTAACGTTACTTCAGAAAATCCCCAGAACAGAAAGTGAGAGTGCAGCTGAGGGGTCAGGTTTTATTTATGCACGGCTTGTTGCTGTATGATGTGAAGATGGTGAGAGCATTTGAGGAGGGACACAAGAGGTATTTCATACATGATTCTTTATACAAACCATGTGCCCTCAATGACCTTTGAAACTTGAGAGCAATTCAGTTCCAGATTCTTCTGTTTCAAAGCCTACCACTTGAGGACAAATAATTCCCTGTATGGTAGAGACCAGTGTTCAGGTCACCTCATTCTAGTAGATCTACAACTGGAATGTGAAGGACCCTCAAAAGTAATTTCTATACTAAACAAACAGTCAGAAGAGACACACTCTCAGGGTGAACCGAGAGCCATTTTTTTGTTTTTGAGACCCAGGTTTTGAAGAGCATCTTCCTTTATTCCCAGGAAACTCAAACAGATCCTGTGGACTCTTTAGTCTCTAGCTGTTGAATTAGAGACCTCAGTGGAGGCAGTGAACATTAAAAAAAAAAAAAAAAGGGAAACAACACTTTTCTCTTTTAAAATAGTTTCAAAAAGTTATGTGTTTATGGATGATTTGATACTGCTTACCTGTTTTTATAGAATTTTTTATTTTATCTTGAGTTTTTTAACTTTAAAGGGCAAATCACACTTGAAAAGCTTGATTCTGGAGTTCTAGGAAACCCTCAGAATGCACAAATTCACATGAAATAGTTGGATATAACCAAAGGCAAATGTATAAAGGACAAAGTTGTTATGTGATTCCTTTAATAGTTGGTGTCTGTGTAGGTAAGCATTCCCTTTTCTAAAGTGGCCCAATGATTAAAACTCAAAGAATCATGGAGATGAAAAATTTCCACCTTCCTATTAAACAGTATGTCTTCATTTGAGATCCATTTAGCCTTTAAGGTGAAAGTGGGTTCCAGACAAATGTCTTTCACATTAGAAACTGTATTAAATTAATTGAAAGATAGATAAACATTGATAATAGTAATAAAACAAGAGAAATGATGAACAGTAAAAGGTAAATACTTTTAAAATGTTGCTCAAATAGACATTCAATAAAACCACATCTTTCAGACAACATAATTACTTGCATCATAAAAAACTCTAGTGGTTGAAATTTAAAATAGTGATTAAAAAGCTTCAGTTGGACTTCAAATCAGCCTAAAAAGAAATTTCCATCTTAATAAAATAGGCAAAACTTTCCTTTTTAACATTAAACTTATTTTTTAAAAAATGTGTTTACTATTCTTGAAAAAGACCTGAAATGGGTCTCTCAGAAAAGTGAGCCTTTCCCATTTTAAACTGAATCCAGCTGAGCAGTGAAGACACAATTCCAAAGCATCCAGAAGAAAAGTCGAATATCCAAAAAACAATTTATATGCTTCAAAATACCCAGATTTGGGGGTTGATCCTTCAAGAAAATGGGAGAGTTACTGAGCGGTTCTGTGACATTTTTGATTTTCCTCCTGGTGTCTTGATGTCATGAGAATCCAGCCTGTCCTGAGGAATTTTAGAGAAACCACAAAAACACAGTACACTGCCTAGGTTTATCTAAACTTCTAAGCTCGATTACAGACTTTCAGACATCTTCCAAAAGATCCCTTAAGTCACCAAAAGTGATTTTAGTCACCAAATTTAATATTCTCATGACTTAAATTTGACTTCATACAGTCAAGTTTATTTTACACTCTCAGTTACTTACTACTGCAAGTCAATACAGCACAGGAATTAATGCATTTGTGCCTTCAACTCAAATTAAATATCAAACACTGCTGTTTGTGAACTTTTTTGGCCAATGAATAAAAAATATTTCATTTCTAATTCTCACCAAAAGGATTTAAATTAAACAGTAACAGATGAAGTGAGCAGGCACAGAATACTAAATAGGAACTGGCAAATGAAATAATCCAGCTCTTTGCTTTTACAATGAAAATGAGAATTGATTCTGCTTGAGAGAGAGAAGTGAAAGGACCAAGTGTTTTAAAAAAAGCCTTCTCCACCAAAAGAGCAAAATAGCACTCAGTGGCATTGCATTGTTAACAAAATTTCTTTATCAGAAACTATAATATTTAAGTATCTAATTTGCATGTGACAAGGTATCATATTCAAAAAATTAAATCGCAACTAGAAAACTATTAACCACTAAAAACAATACCAAACACAACCCAAACATTTATAGGAAAGCAATAGCTAGAATCTGAGTTGGAAAAAATGTTTCATCATTTTTGGCTCATTAAACAAAGCATCCATTATAGCCTGGAAAAGAGCATCTCTTCTAATTCATCAGAAGTTTATCCTTTGTAGCATGAATAACATGTAAAGATAGATTTATTGACTGTATATGCACACGTGTGTCTATATATTGTGAGACATACACTCGTGTGTTGATTTAAAGATACTGTATCTACTGATAACTGGCTGAATTTTGGAAGGTGCTGAAATCCATATTTCTACATGACCTTTGACCCATTTAATAATGTCTTTTTATAAACAGAAATTACATAAAATACTCTGTTTTTTATTAACTGAATATTTTCTTAAGCATAATAATAGACAATGAAGGAATTGCACTTATTGTAAAGATACAGTAAGGTGTTAGGTTGCAGCTCAGCCATCAAAGATCAGGGATGTGGTACTGATAAGTATGCATCATATGCAAAGATGATGGTGGCCACTGAAATTAAAATGAGAGCAACTAGTTACAGAACAAATTGGGGGATAACAGAAGAAAACATGCACTACTCCTACTTTAATGCAAAACTAATTTCTCCCTGGAAACCAACCCTTTGACCTTCCTTACACAAAGAAACAGGTTCTGCACCCTTGGCAACACAGTAGACTAGGACATCTGTATTCAAATTCTAGTTCATTGTCTCTGAGTGTGCTGTTCCAGTGTCATCTCCTTAAGCTGCCCTTGAAATTCTGGAGCATGTACAATATTACAGTCTCTTGGTTAGGTTTCATTGAGCTTCAAGATCCCCTTCAGTTCTATATAAATAGGGTCCATTATTCATCTTCTTCCGGTTCCTGTGGTAACACAGGGATTTCTTCCTTTAAACAATCACTGAAGAATCTGAGGATTGTGCTGTAGAGATGATACTTGCTCTTCTCAGATACATTATGGCCTTCATCTGGGTAGACCTAACATATTGAGGGGGAAAGAGATTGAAAGTTACCAAAACAGATACTGTCCCTCAAAATTCATTCCTTTAGCCCCAGTGGCAAGGGAACTGTGGAAAGTAATATCTGACCAAAATCTAACCTAATTTAACTCTGGTTTTTTTGTGCTAAACTTTTCTCTCTTTTTAAATTATCCTGTAATAATAATTGAGACTACAGCTTTTTATGTATTTAAATTAGAACTAGGTTGGAAAAAGTAGAGCTTTCTATGTTCCTGTTGACCGGGACGGCATTAACATTCCCCTTAATTTGACTAAATTTGAGATCCGTTTCTTCCTGACTCTAGGGCCTTGACCTTTCTTTTCTTAGAGCTATTTTAGAAAACTTGCAATTGTAAATTCTCTGCCCCTTTGTATGTAAATCTTCTTCCAGTCTTGCCAGTTTTACAATTTAGGAAATGTCTTTCTCAAGGATCTAAGAACCATCTCTCTGAAATGTAAATATTGAAGAGGAGAGTAGCCCTCCCTGTGGGAGGGTAGAACCCTTGCTCCACATTGTAAAACTACCTCCTGTCATAAACAGGAAGTTTACTTTTCCATTTGGTAAGGTGAACTACCCAACGCAGATGGCCTATGATTCCTTCCACCCCAGTTACTCTAAGCTCCCCAGCCCTATGTTTCAACAGTTTAGTTTGTCTCCCCTCTTGCAATAGTCTTAAATAACGCCTGCCTTGTCTGTTTAACCTTGTCTAGTATAAGTTTTAATTTGACAGTGTCCCCTCTAATATAAATGACATAAATAATTTTTCTAAAATTACAAATACAGATATTTGTCAATTCCTGGGTATAAAGTTTTTATTTCTTTAATTTTTTTAATTTTTATTTTTTACTATTAAGATGACATTACTTTTTTTTTTAAATTCTTTTTCAAACTTTTTAATCCCAGTTAACATACAGTGTTACAATATTTTCAGATGTACAACACTGTAATTGAACAGTTCTATACAAAAAATATGTAACACTTCACAAATATGTGTGTCATCCTTGCGTGGGGGCCGTGCTAATCTTCTCTGTTTCGTTTCAGTTTTAGTATATGTGCTGCCAAAGTGAGCACCTGCCTCAATGATCTAAATAAAGCCCCCTACTCCTTCACATTGTTTGTGGCATGATCTATTATCTGTTTATCTCTACATCTTCTTCATTGATCATCCTAACCCTGGTACCTGTGCTTATAGATATGTTGAACTACTTTTAGTTCTTTCAAATGCTGAGAAATTAAAATTGCTTTTTTTTTTTGGTCCCTTCTGTGACTCCTCCCTCAGACTGAAAGTCCTCAAAGGTGTAAAGTCTGTCTTACCCACCTACCATAGTGACCATTATAAAGTAAATCTTTGAAACTATTCACTACATGGGGTTGAATGCACAGATGTAAATGTTTTCTTCTCTCCTTTTTTCTCAATATCGCTTCAAACCACTTTTTTCCCTACCTTTTATGATAAAGGTGATAGAAAGTGAGGGAAAAACGAAGGGACTAGAAGGGAAATGGAACATGACTCTTTTAAAAACAATTCATTATTAGTGATAGAAATAAAAGTCTGAGAAGAAAAAGACATTCTTGAAAGTTTTTGCAATTCACATAAAGCATGAGCTTATCAGCATAATTAGGAAAAAAACTCACCATCTTTGGTACCTAAAAATCACAGTTAAAAAATAATAGCAAGGGGGATGGAGTAGTACAGAAGCTCTGTTCTATATCCCACAACTGAAAAACCAAGGTAGGAAAACAGCCTTATGAAAAAGTGACTTACCTGCATAGTATAATTCACTCCAGCTTTTATTAGGTGTTTAATTAATTCTGCTGAATGCTGGAAATGGACTTTTGCTGTAAGAAATAAAATTTTATTATGTGATGGAAATGCATTTATTAGAATTAGAACTTTTTATATCATTTTAAACTTTAAGGTTTATAAAAAAATAATATACATTACAAAAAATAAACTGAAACAGAAGCTACTACTAAGGCTCTCCTTATTGTACAGGATAGTATTTAAGTTTATTTTATCATCTGTTATTTCTGATTGTTCACATATGTTATACAATTATAACATTTTCAATGTAGTGAATTATTAACTGCATAGTAATATAGCAAACCATCTTTCTGTTCCTTTCTGAGGATTACTGCGGCTCAGTCTCCATTAGATGCTGACATTCTGTTTTATTTTAAATGAGAAAAAAACGACACCATGTTGAGAAATTAGTCTACATGGGCTCAATATTTAATGTGAATCATACTGCTTTCTTCTGTTTCCTTCTAGCTTCCCTCTCTGCCTGAACCTGAGGTCCAAGACTCTGAAGTACGTAGCACAGTAGACCAGGGTTGTATATTTTTAGCCTTAATTTTTCCAAAGCTATTTTTTTTATTTTTTATTGTTATGTTAATCACCATACATTACATCATTAGCTTTTGATGTAGCGTTCCATGATTCATTGTTTGTGCATAACAACAGGTGCTCTACGCAGAATGTGCCTTCTTTAATGCCCAGGCTAACCCATCCCCCCACCCCCCTCCCCTCTAGAACGCTCAATTTGTTTTTCAGAGTCCATCGTCTCTCATGGTTCGTCTCCCCCTCCGACTTACTCCCCT